TGTTTGTTTTTCAGTTTGATTTTTTTTTTTTGTTGGTCATGGGGCCTGAACTCTGGGCCTGGGTGTTGTCCCTCAGCTCTTCAGCTCAAGGCTAGAGCTCTACTACTTGAGCCATAGTGCCACTTCTGGCTTTTTCTGCCTATGTGGTACTGAGGAGTTGAACCCAGTGCCTCATGCATGCAAGGCAAGCACTCTTCCACTGAGCCATCTTCCCCAGCCCCTCAGTTTGATTTTTGAGGCAAGGTTTTGCTGCCCTCTGCCTTTAGTCTTCCGAGTACTGTGATTACAAGCATGTACCCACACCTGAGTCAGGTGTGTATTAAAGTAATAAACTATGTTCTGATAATGAAAGGATGGTCTAGTAGGAGCAGTAATAAGGAAAAAGCATGTACTTTCCTGCCTCCCTTTGTACTTCAAATGTCTGCACAATTAGATTATTTTGGTGTTTACTGCTTACTAGTAAAACGTGAACATTTGAAAACAATCTGAATATTTGGTATTCAGTGAGTCAGGTGTAATCATTAAACCTGCCAGATCTCGTGTTTCTGAATGACTGTAATTTTGCCTTAAAGGTGACCATTGAGAGCTGTATTAGAATTAGAAGGTCCTTGGTGAGGAGGAAATTGCTAGAAGGCTCATTATTGGAGGGTCTCGCTCACTATGTCAGTTAGCACTGGAATAAATCTGTTAACTAAGTAAATTTGCTTTTGAAAAGGACTAAAAACACCTGATAATGATACTTTAGTTTGAAAGTATTTAAGGGCTTATACTTGTACATGTAAATTTGTAATTTATAAATTCAGAATAGCACATATATTTTCTAGTAGCACATTTATCCATCTGTATTCTTTTTTTTTCTAGTAACACATTTATGATAGATGATTATTCGGTATAATTGTGTTTCTTTGAATGTGTACATGTTTTGTTAAAAAATGTATTAGTGTCAATTAATTGGACAAAGGAGTTTCGTTATAATGTTTACAGTGTCGTTCTATCCAGTTTACCCTTGTTTTCATATTCCCTTAGTCCTCCATATCCATTTAGTAAATATCATTATGTTATCTTCATAAATGTATTTATACATATATGTGTGATATATGTGTATGTGCATAATATACTTCAGTCACATTTAACCCCAAATATTTACTCTTTTCCCTCTGTCCCCTTCCATTGACCTCTCCCCCTTTGACCTTATACCTTGATGCTCATGTCCCATCATCATCATCATCATCATCATCTTAGGTTTGCATTCCTCATATGAATGGAAACACAGTGTTTGGCTTTTTGAACTTGGCTTATCTTGATTGACAGGATGGTGTTCAATTACATACATTTTCCCACAAAGGGCATTATTTCATTTTTTAGTAGTTGAATAATATTCCATCATATATAAATACCACATTCTCTTCATCTGTTCTTGGCTACCTGGGCTGATTCCATAGCTTAACTACTGTGAGTAGTGCTGATATAAACATGGATATACAGGTAGAGTAGCCTTCTGATAATGTACCTAAGAGTGGTATAAACAATGTGTATTTCAAACTGATCTCTATAACTGGTTGTACGAATATACATTCCCACCACTAGTGTAGATCCCTACCATACCCATCCTCACCAGCATTTGTTGTTACTTGTTATCCTAAGGATAGCCATTCTGACTGGGATGTGATGAATCAATCTTTTTTTCTTTCTTTCTGGTCTTTCTTTCTTTCTTGCTGGTCTTTCTTTCTTTCTGGTCTTTCTTTCTGTCTGTCTGTCCTTCCTTCCTTCCTTCCTTTCTTCTTTCTTTCTTCTTCTTTCTTCCTTCCTTCTTTCTTTCTTTCTTTCTTTCTTTCTTTCTTTCTTTCTTTCTTTCTTTCTTTCTTTCTTTCTTTCTTTCTTTCTTTCTATTTGTGCAGGTTCTGCGGCTTGAACTCAGAGCCTGGGTTCTGGTCTCAGCTTTTTTACTCTAGGCTGGTGCTCTGCCACTTGACCCACAGCTCTATTCTGACTTCTTGGTAGATAACTGGAGATAAGAGTCTCTAGGACTTTTCTGCCTGGGGTGGCTTTGAATGGTGATCCTCAACATTTTGGCCTCCTATATAGCTAGGATTATAGGCAATAGCTAACCACTAGCTTCCAGTATGGAATCTTCAGTGTCATTTTGAATTGTATTTCTTTCATGGATAAAGACATTGAACATTTCTTCATGTACTTAATTAGCCATTTGTACCTCAGAACTGTATGTTTATTTGTGTATTAATTACATTATTGGTTGTTTTTGAATTAATTTTTTGAGTTCTTTCCATATTCCAGATATTAATCCTTTGATGAGTAGATGTCAAAGGTTTTTTTTCCCATTCTGTCAGTTGTCTCATTGTTCTTGTAATTGTCTCCTTTTTAATTTGATGCAATCACATTCTTCAATTCTTGCTCTTATTAGCTAGACAATTGAAGTCCTGATTAGAAAATAATTAACTGCTTGTGCCTACACCTTCAAATATTTCTCCTGAAGTAGTTTCAGAGTTTCACATCTTACATTAAAATCTTCGATTAAGCTGAGTGCCATGCCTGTAATCCAAAAAGCCAGAAATGGAGCTGTGGCTCAAATGGTAGAGCACTAACCTTGAGCAAAAAAAGCTCAGGGATAGCTTCCAGGCCCTAAGTTCAAGTCCCAAGACTGGCACACACTCAAAAAGATTATTGATTAATTTTGAATTTATTTTTATATGGGGTGAGAGGTAGGGGTCTAATTTAGCTTTTCTATCTGTGAATATCCAGTTTTCCCTAGCATCTTTTGTTGAAGAGGCTGTCATTTCTCTGTTGTATGTTTTTTACTTCGTTAATAGCTGTAGCTGTGTATGGGTTTATTTCTGGTCTTCTATTCCATTGTTCTATGTGTTTGTTTTTGTGTCAGTATCATGCTCTTTTTGTTACCATGGCTTTCTCTTTCATATAACTTGAAGTTGTTCTTTCTTTGATACAGTCTTGCGCTTGGCCTTGTTCTTTCTGTTTTAGCCTCCTGAGTTCTGGCATAGGTATGTGCTACATTCTGCTTATGCCTGCTTCTGAAATCACTTATGTTCTCTGACTAAAATATTGGGTAATATCAGTAAGAGGTTGGTAATGATCATAATCCTTTTCTTTTTCTTCCTTTTTTTGTGTTTTTGTAATGGCATCAGGACTTGAACTCAGGTCCCCTATACTCTCACATGGCTTCTTTGCTCATGGCTGGTGCTCTACTGTTTGAGCCATTTTTGGCTTTTGACTGGTAAATTGGATATGAGAGTCACACAGAGTAAAATCCTTATATACTTAATGGGGGCTGATACTTAGATATCTATTATATTTTCTATATTTTCAGGAATTAAAAATTTATCCCAATAAATGTGGGAATGAGGGAACAGAAGAAACTATACAAAAAGAAATGTACTTATTACCTGACTCATGTAGTTATAATCCCTCTGTACATCACCTCTATAATAACAATAAAGTAAATTAATTTTTTATAAAAGAAACAAAAACTTGAAAGTTTTCTTAAATTAACTGGAAAAAATTATCACAGTAAAACAGAAAGCAAGTTTTATATATAAAGAAGACTTGTTAGTCATGTTCCTAATGGATCCATGTTTTGTTTGAATACTGTGCAGATCATACTTTTTGATTCCCCATAGGGAAAATATATATAAAACAATTAAAACAGCTATTTGGTAAATTTTTATATATTATTTGTAATAATGGTATAGTTCAGATGTTAGAACATTAGGTTTTGGACTTCCCATGGGAGAGTGCCTACATGAGAGTGTCTAAATGACAGCTATGAAAATGTGTAACAGAAATACTAAATAAAAATGTTATAAGTAAACAAGTAAGTGGTTAATGGTCTGGACAGTACTATTCCTTTGTGTCTAAAAAGCCAGTGTCCATCTCATGATCATGATGATGATGATGGTGATGATAATAATAATGATTATTAGCAACTTTTAGAAAAACATATTGTTAAAACTTTTTATTTTGTTAGGAAGGAAGTGAAGGACAGGTGTTAGTCCTTGGAGCCACAAATCGCCCTGAAGCATTAGATGCGGCACTGCGTAGACCTGGACGATTTGATAAGGAGATTGAGATCGGAGTTCCTAATGCTCAGGACCGGCTAGATATTCTGCAGAAGCTTCTTCAGAGGGTCCCTCATTTGCTCACTGAAGCTGAACTGGTACAACTGGCAAATGATGCTCATGGATATGTTGGAGCAGACTTGAAAGCCTTGTGTATTGAAGCAGGTAAGTATGACTTGATACCACGTTTCTGTATTGGTGGATATTACCTTTGGTTTATTAGCACACTGAGAATTTTTTAAATGGTCTTACATTTGCTTTATTTAGAATATAAAATGCCAAATAAAATATAACAAGTTTAGGTAGAGATTTCCTGCATTGTGAACAGTAGACCCACATTTTGAATTAATGTGGGCATCCTTACTTCTTCCTTAAACATCTTTACTATAGAAACAAACTTGAGTTTCCAGCTTCTCGGTCATCTAGCAGTAGCCTTGACCAGTGCCACTTCTGGCCAATGTATCAGGAATCCTTGGGGAAATTGGAAATGCCCTGTAAGGAAGAATCTTTGGTTGTATACCCTGATAATTTATATCTCACTTCATGGAAGTTGCTTTACTCTTTTCTAGTCATAAAATGTATTTGTGGAAAAAGTTTAGATGATTAGAAAAAGAAAATACTCTTACTCATACTTTCCAGAAATGATTGCTGTTAAGAACAAATTCTTCTTGGTTTCTCCGAGCACTCACACTAGAACACAGATTTGTATAAACACAAGTGTTTATATATGCCTATATGTACGGGGCTGGGGCGGGAGTGGGGGGTGGGGGGGAGGGGAGGTCGTCAACAGTATTGATGGTTGATGGTAACACTGTTTATTGATATTGTGCTGTGGAAATTAGGGAAAAGTATCTGGCATTAAGATTAAGGTTTTAAGCCCTGAGTTGGTGACTCACACATATAATCTTAGCTACTTAGGAGGCTGAGATCTGAAGATAAAATATTCAGAGCCACCCCATGTACTTCTATCTTTGATTAACTAGCAAGGCCAAAATTGACAGCGTAGTTCAAGATTATGGTTTCGGTTAATTTAGCCTAGTAATTGTTGAGCTGCTAAATTTTTTAAAAGCCCAAGAATTCTAGCTATAGAGTATGTGACAGCCATGCTTTAACTCTGAAAATGTTTTAAGGACTATTATTAATCCGTTGCCTACTTTAGACTTAAGTTCTTCACCATTAATTAACTGTAGTTACTTTGGAAACTTTTAAGACCACTTAATCTTTGCAAAGTATTTCAGAATAGTTCAATCGTGGAAAATGTATTTAAAAATGATGATAGTTTTTATAAGCTGTTCAAGTGTTTGATCTTATAAGTGTGACTTTACTGGGTTTTTTTGCTTTTTTCTTTTTTGGTGTGGGGCTGAGACTTAAACTTTGGGCCCGTGCTCTGTTTGGCTTTTTTTTTTTTTTTTTTTTAAGGCTGGTACTCTACTACTTGAGACATACCTCCAGTTTTAAAATTTTTGCCTCCTGAGTAGTTAGGATCACAGGCATGAGCCATTTATGCCTGACTGGGCTTTTATTTTGTTCTAAAAGGTGTGTTTATTTTCTAATAACCCTAACATATATCTCAAAACATCTTTGGTTTACCAAGAGTTTATTTATGTTAGATTTTTTTTTCCCCACTCCTCTGGCTGAGCATAGTTTTCTAAAGTGTATATTTTGGAAAGACTTTCCCCTAGCGGCAGTATTATGTTCATCCAGTTTTTTTAATAAAGTGCTTTGAACAAAGTTTAACCCTAAAATAGTGAAAAATTAAATTCTTAAATTAGAAATTGATTATTATATAACTTGAGTTGAGAAAGATAACTTTTATCTCCAAATTCATAGTGGTCTAATTTAATGGACTTATTGAAGGCCCTTTTTAGTCCTTTCAAGCTTGATGTGTATATGGAAAGAGGTAGAGAAGGAAAAACAAATAGGAAAAGAATTAGCTGAGAAAGATATTTAGGAGTTTTTAAATATCTTACTTTTGTTAAGGTATCTTGCTCTTTTTTAAATTGTTATCATGATTTCCAGACTAGAGGACTAGTAAGTGGGGGAGTCTGGATTGTTTAGTCTACATAGACAAAAATAAATATTTAGTATATATGGTCTAGAAATGGGGCCTGTCTAGTTTCTGTGCTGTACTAACTTTATGTGAAGTGATGGGCCTGGGTCCCTAGGAATACATTTCCTAGGGACCAAGAAACTCAGGCTTGTGAACTTAGGCCACTCTCTTGTCTTATCTGAGCCTTAGTTTTCTCATTTGTAAGTCATAAATTGAAGGGTGAAGGAAGATGATATTTCAGTGGCTTTATAGCTATGATATTCACTAGATACAAGGAAAAACAAGAAAGAAAGAAAAACAACAAAAAAGAATTAGTAAAAAAGAGGAAACAAAAGAATGTCCAATGTACTTCCAAAGTCTGTCTTTTCCTCTACTTTCACATTCTCTGTAAACTTTTTGCTATTCATCATTTTTGTTTAAGAAGCTTAGATAGTTAGTGAGGGCTTTCCTCTATAGTCTTTCTTTTTTTGTTAAATATGATTATAAAATAAGTTTATTCAGTCAATATTTCTCTAGCATTTCTCACCTGTTAGGCAGCATTCCTAATATTGAGCAACAGTGCAGTTAAAATGAGCAGAGGTCTCCAGTTCAGAGATCTGCTGAGCTTGACAGTCTGAGGAACAATACTATAAAGCAGACTAATGTTGATTGGGAAATAAAGTCTGTTTTTTCATTTAGATGGTTTTATGGGTTTTTACCAAAGAATTGATCTTGAGCAAATTTTGAATTTCATTAATCATGTGACTCTGAAGAAAACTAAAACAACTCTGAAATGGTGAACTTTTTTGTGTGTAGTGATAGAAAAGTTTATTAGGGAAGAAATATGGGAGAGAAAGATATGGCACATGGCATAAACATGGTGCCAGAAGGCAACCTTTTAACCCATCTGTAGCCATCTGTTTGCAGTGTTCAGGACTATGGTTAAAATGGGGTTGGGAGCCAGATGCCAGTAGCTTACATCTGTTATCCTAGCTATTCAAGAGGCTGAGATCTGTAGATTGCAGTTTGAAGCTAGCCAGGGCAGTAAAGTCCATGAACTATATCTTTAATTAATCACCCAAAGGCCAGAAGTGGAACTATGGCTTAAGTGGTAGAATGCTAGCCTTGAGCAAAAAACTGCAGGGACAGCACCCAGGCTCTGAGTTCAAGCTCCAACACTGGCACAAGAAAATGGGGGGAGGAGACAGGGAGTTAACAAATAGGTATGCATATATAAAAGTCATAAATCATAGGTAGGTTTGAAGGTAAACCTTTAAACCCCAGGATTCGTCAGGTAGGATCCCGTTTAGTAAGAAGCTGTAACACTCTTCCTAGAATCCAAGATGGCTGCAAAGTGACGACTACAGAAGAGAATGCCTTCAGAGCATTAAATCCTTCCCAGATTTTATATGATGTACTTAACATGAATTATTATTTTTACACTGGCTTCTCCTCATACCAGATTATTTTTGTAATCTCCCTGTAGTATGCATGATGTGGTATTTCTTCCCTTTTTTTTTTTTTGCTGATCCTGGGGCTTGAACTCAGGGCCTGAGTGCTGTCCCTGAGATGATGATGATGATGATGCTTATGCTTCCTCTTCCTTCTTTCTTTTTCCCTCTTTCTTCTTTCTTCTTCTTCAACTCTCAGTTTGTGCGCTGACCTTGAGCCTCTTTGTGCTCAAGGCTAGCACTCTACAGCTTGAGCCACAGCTCCACTTTCAGTATTTGAATGATTAATTGGAAATAAGAGTCTCACAGGGCCTTTTTTGCGGGGACTTGCTTCAAACCCCAATCCTCAGATCTCAGCCTCCTGAGTAGCAAGGATTACAGGCGTGAGCCACTGGTGTCCAGTCCTGAGCTTCTTTTGCTCAAGTTTAGCACTCTGCCACTTGAGCCACAGTGTTACTTCCAGCCTTTGTCTCTGTAGTTTATTAGAGATAAGAGTCTCACAGACTTTCCTGCCGGGGCTGGCTTCAAACCAGGATCCTCACATCTCAGCCTCTTGAGAAGCTAGGATTACAGGCATGAACTACTGGTGCACTGCTTGCCTGTGTAGTTTTTTCAGAGGATGTAGTTTACATCTTACTTTTGCCATTACTGGAGTTTGAACTCAGAGCTTTGGTGCTGTCCTTTATCATTTCTCTTAAGACTGCAACTTTGCTTCTGACCTTTTGCTGGTTAATTGGCTAGCTTTGAACTGTGATCTCACTTCCTGAGTAGCTAGGATTGCAGGTATAAGCCACCAGTACATGGCTAGTTTACATCTTTTACTCTCAACTTTTCTAATCTTATTTCAGTGTTTGTATGTTTTCCATATCTTTTAACTTTGTTGCCATACTGAATATGAAATGTGGAAATACAATGCTTGTTGTGCTTTCAACAGTTGGGTCTTATTGCTGTCTGAGCAAACAGGCTAGTTAATGTTGATAGTGGAGTGTGAAACTTGCTTTTAAATGTTACATTTTCTTTAAAATTAAGTTTTTAACCTAGAGTATGGTTTGATATGCTTTGTCTTTTCCAAAGACCTAATACTTTGCAGCTCACCTTTTTAAGCAGAGAGCAGCTGTATTCTGAAATGTTTTATCTCAAAGTAGACAAGATGTTTACAAGCTAGACTCTTAACACACCCTGACATTTAACTATATTTGTATTCCTCCTGGGATTAGGCTGCCTTTCTAATTAATTAGTTGCATAGCCTTTTATTAATTCCCTCAAAATTTATGTTTTAAATTAACAACATAGATAAGGATAGTACAGTTTTTGGAAAACATGAAATGTTAATTATGTAGCAGAGACATGAATTATATAAACTTTGCTGAATGTTAGAAAGTGCTTAGCAACAGTTTTCCAAATATAGGGATTTATTATATAAACTTACCCTTCTAAGGCTGCCTGTGCCATTTCAGGAGAGTGAATATAAATAGAGTTTGATTTCTTCAAGAAGTGGACTCAAGTTATTTTGTTTATAGGGAAAGGAAGTCTTTGCTTTGCATCTCTTAGAGTTTATCTTTAGCATCCTTGTGGATTTCATTTAATCATTTTCATGCCAAATATTTGGGCCTTGGTAAGGTAGTGTCTCAGAACAGGAAGAATTAAAACACTTATTTACACAATGATATTTGGCATTATAGGAC